CCTTGTCTTTTCTTCTGAACCCTTCTCTAAATTCTCAACCAAGTCGCCCTTTCAATGCACTGCAACTGCCCCGATGCGCTCCGAAAGTAGATTTGAGTGGGCGGGCCGGGAGAGGGCCGCCTTTATACCAGGCCCCGCCCCCTGCCGGAGGCTCCGCCCACAGAAGGGTTGGCCACCAGTCACCAACATCCAGGGAGGGCCGTTCGGGGGGGGGGGGGTGATTGGGGGGTTTATTGTTGGCCACCTCATGGCGTGTGGCGCACAATGACGGGGTAAACGATGCAAATATTTTGGCGCTGTTTGAAGGTCAGCCGCGCGGCTGCTGAGTCGATTGGGCAATGCTATTTGTTTATTAGTTTTGTAGTTGCAATGACTATATCTATTGCAAGTCTTTTGCATTAATAGCTTTGCAGCAACTGAAAATGTATACTACCCGATTCAATGAAGAATTTTATGCCGTGGATTCTGGAAAAATGGCACTCTAGTAATATTGACATACATGTATTCCCAAATACGGCACAGCTTTACGGTAACTTTCCGACGAAAGTGATATGGTATAAAAAGTAACAGCATAAACGTTTTTGTAATCCGTATTGCGACTTTTGCATCCGTAGTGGGCCTGCTTGGCACAACTCGGCAATATGATGGTAAGTGGTCGCCATCGCTTAACGCTCGAAAGGACTTTGATGTATGATACCGTGCTGCTGTATCATACTGAATATGTGCACATATTTGTATAGGTATGAAATTATTTTCTTCTTATTTTCTGGTTTAAATTCTACTATAAATATCGCCGTATCCCCAACCCGCGCGTCGCTCGTTCGCGCTGGCTGTAAAATGCCTGTGTAGGTATGCTGTACCGCAATGCTCCGGAGTGCAGCGGCACAGTCTACCTCACAGGCATTATTCGGCCGGCGTCAGCGATCTGGGAGAGCGGCGCGGCGGTGGCATTATTAGAAGGGCAGTAAGGGAGCAAACTATTTGACAACACGGTTTTGTTTAGAAAAAGCAGTGAGGAGATGTCTAGACTACTTTCTTGACTTGGGATCGCAAATATCGTCTTAAATTGAGCCGCTTTTCGGTGCATCGCTATGTTTACGGTGCTCAGATAACCTAATAAATTAAAACCCTCAATATTTATTATATTTATTGAAATTATGTAAGACAGTTACGTAAGACGAAAAGTTACGTAGGACAGCTTAGAACCCCACCACACAAACCTTCACAATAAGTCCGCTTTACTCATGTATTTGATGAGTAAATTTTAGGACGATTGAAAACATTATTGAACAGTGCTTACGATCCAATGTATGCACAAACACTATATTTCCAGCGTAGGTAATTGGGACGCTTCCATAAATCTAATACCCAGCCAGCTTATTTAAAATGGCATAGGCCTGGTACCCACCCATGCACCCAGCACCTGCCCCCCCCCCCTCATATCACCCGCTCTCCCACACCGTGCACGTGTGTAAGTGTCTGGAGCAGACACACCGCACTTCCGAATTCCGTAGGGTCGTAGGTAAACAACAGGAGGGATGAGAGGTGAGGAGCGGGAGACAGAGTGGCAGGAAGAGGGGAGGAGAGAGGGAAGAGGAGCTGTCAGATGCCATGGGAGGAAGAGGCGGCCGGAAGGGCGGGGGAGGAGGGGAGGAGGGTCAGTGTGGCCGGTGAGAACTGGATAGATCCGGAATATTAGTCAGGGATGATGTAGAGAGAGAGAGAGAAGGATAGAGAGAGAGAGAAAAGAGAGAAAGAGAGAGAAAGAAAGAAAGATAGAGAGAGGGGGAGCGAGAGGGAGAGAGAGCGAGAGGGAGAGAGAGAGCTGGAGAGAGAGAGAGAGAGAAAGAGAAAGAGAGAGAGAGAGAAAGAGAAAGAGAGAGGAGAGAGAGGAAGAGGGAGAGAGAAAAAAGAGGGAAAGGAGAGCAAGTTGCGAACAAACAGAAAAGCTTCACCTACACATTTCTTTTATAAAAAAAAACAAATCCTTGCAGAAAAATGCAAAAATGACCATTTCTTCCTCTTCTTTCTTGACTTTCGGTACTGCATTCCATAACTTTCAAATGAAATCTACCCCCTGTCATGATACCCCCAAAACCCCCTCTCCACTTTTAAACGCGGAACCGCCTCCCCCTCCCCCTCCCCCAATGTCAAGGACGAATCTCGTGCAACTCCCGGGGCCGATCTGCGCAGTAGCTCGTCGGCCCTCGGCGGTTCCCGCCCGCTCCGGACCGGTCCCGTATAGCCACCAGCTGGGACGCTGGCCCGCGTTCAAGACGGTGTTGCATCAGCTCTCTTCTGGGCGCTGTCCGGTGCCAAGCCTCCTCTCTAGTGCGAGTCGTCTGGCGCGTCAGCCGCTGCCCGCTAGATGTGCGCAGGAAAGCGATACTACGACGCAGAAGCGGGTGTCGGACTTCTATGCAGAGCGGCGCGGTCCATTCAAGAATATGATTAATGAGGTTGAAATCTTCAAGAAGGCGTACGAGAAAGTCGATTGATGATTGTCAGGTCACTGGAACGATATGACCTCCTAAAACCACTTTTTTGTGCAGAGCAAGATCTTTAATTAGCAGTTGGTTTGCCGATTGCTATCAAGAATAATGTATTTAGTCAGTAGTTTAAAAGATCAATACAACCAGCCAGGAAACCACTGCAAATCAGTCATGGATGGTTCCCAATCGTACGGATAAAACCAACCAGGGTATAGAGATGTCAGTCGGATACCAACTTTTTGGTATACCGATACCAAACCGATACCAACTTGGTATTTGGTATTTCAATCCTAATGTGTTTGGTACTTTGTTGGTATCATGAACCCTCACTAATGTATAAGAGGCTAAAGGTCAAGCTACACGGGACACTTTTTCGGTTTTTGATTTTTCGGTTTTTCGCTTTTTCGGTTCGATTTATCGTTTTTTCGCGTCGATTTTTCGCTTTTTCGATTTATCGCTTCGTGACTTGAGTTTTTCGAGTTTCGCTGATTTTTGTTTAGTTGGAACGCGCTGTGCAACCGCCAGCTCTTTTTATTTTGTTTGCAACCAGCGCAATGCTTTGGTCGCAGTTTTGCCTAGGGGCTTTAGGGGTCTGTTTTGTTGTCTGTTTTAACAGATGGAAATTACTTAAACAAGATCTCGTCTGTTTTGTAGTAGGAAACTGGCTTGACTAAACTTCCAGCAGCTCAGCTACTAACCGGCGCCCCGCTGGGACTCCTGGATTTCCACGCCCTGCTGGAAGGGGGAACACCCCTTCTAACTTGGCTTCTGAGCCACGTAGCGACACACCGTAGGCGACACTTGAAAGAGCTAAAAAATAAGGAACAAACTGCTTCGGCCATTTTTAGGTCAGATGTAGGCCAAAGGGCAGGTCACCAAAGGTCATCGAAGGTAAAATGTCGCCAATATCTATAGGTCAAACTTCGACAACTTTCGACAAATCGGTCCATAGCTCAGGAATGGATAGAGCTATAGCGCCGCGGCATAGGCGCGGGAGCCGGGGGGGCAGTGGGGGCAGCTTGCCCCCCCCCCAACTCTGGGGCCGTGGGGTCGATGCCCCCACAGCTTTGAGACGGAATACCACACTTTTTTGCATTTTTTTTTTGTTGAAAAAGCCAAGGGATGAAAAATAAGTGGCCTAAAACCGGTGAGAAAACTAGATTTGGGGGCAGGGCTGCGGAGTCGGAGTCGGAGTCGGAGTCGGAGTCGGAGTCGGTCGGAGTCGACAGTTGTGACCGGAGTCGGAGTCGGAGTGGGAGTCGATTTTAGAAACCCGAGCCGGAGTCGGAGTCGGAGTCACCGAAAATCTGTCGACTCCGCAGCCCTGCTAGGTCTGCGGAGTCGGAGTCGGGAGTTGGAGTCGGCCGGAGTCGACAATTCTGCCCGGAGTCGGAGTCGGAGTCGGAGCTGGTTTTTGAAAGCCGGAGTCGGAGTCGGAGTCGGAGTCGCCGAAAATCCATCGACTCCGCAGCCCTGTTTGGGGGTACCCTGGGTTGATCTCTATTATGGTGTGCCCCCCCAGTCTGAACGTAGTTCCCGCGCCCCTGCGCCGCGGAGAGGCGCAATCAAACGTTCTTTTAACGTTCTTTCGCTAGCATGACCTCAGATTTGACGTAAGGTCCACCGTTTATCCAGCAGGGGCATAAGCGTCCAAAATATACGATTCTGCAAAAACAGTTTTTTCCGCAATAACTTTTGACTCTAAACTTGCACGAGCTTTCCTTCACCAGAAACGTGTTTCTCTGATCGAGACGCATCGAATGAACCTTAAACTAACTGGACTGGTCTAGGTCATGACCTGGCCGGAAAGTTCGTGATGCATATCAGTCGATTTGTATCGTCCAGTGGAACACATCGAATGTGTTTTCATCGCTCTATAGTAGCATGCATTTATCGAAATTTATTACCGAAAATTGTGCATACCTTTCGCGACCTGATATGACCTCAGGGCATAACAAGGGGTCACGGGTGTCATATTGTTGGCGTTCAACATTTGATTCTCGTTTCGCCGCTGCCAGTCCGAAACTCCACCGAATGTCTTCTTGCTGTATTCCACCACGGACAATGCACACGCACAACCTGCTCTCACCAACTCCACGGTCCAACCACGCGCCTACCCCGCGTCCGGCACAGCCACGGCAACGGCGCCCCAGGCGGCGCGTCCGGCTCGCGCAAAGGCGCGGCCAGCGCCGCGGACCGGGGAGGATGGCCGCCAACGGCCGGCCGCCCGGTCACCGGAGCCGAGCCAGTCCCACGCAGAGGCGGAGCCAGGGACCGCCGGCAACTGACCGGCTCAGCCAGCGGCGCGGCGAGGTGCCGGGACCGGGGCCACGCCCCACAGCACAGACGCGCCGTAACCGTCACAACACAACACAACGCCGCGCAGTGGTGTACGAAGCTTCACCTGCATCATCACCCCCCTCCACACCACTGCACGGCGAAATAGGAATGTGCACACACAAAAGACGACAACAGTACAGTATTTAGAAGGAAATAAATGCCGGCTCGTTAATCCATCACATAGTCCGCAAATCTCACAGGCGGACGACGCGCGCGCTGGGAACGGCGCAACGAGGGAACATCAAACCGCACCTTAAGGGCTCCACGCAGACCGGGTGACGTCTGCTGCGCGGATACTCGAGTCGCCACCGGCGAGGTACCCGTCGCCGCATCAGTCATGAGGCGGGACGAGTGTAGTCCAACCGAAGAGGAAGGCGGCGGAGGCGCTGCAGACGCCACCGGCGAGGTACCCGTCGCCGCATCAGTCATGAGGCGGGACGAGTGTGGTCCAGCCGAAGAGGAAGGCGGCGGAGGTGCCGCAGACGCCACCGGCGAGGTACCCGTCGCCGCGTCAGTCATGAGGCGAGACGAGTGTAGTCCAGCAGAAGAAGAAGGCGGCGGAGGTGCCGCAGACGCCACCGGCGACGCCTCGGCCACCGCGCCAGCACCCGGCCGAGGTGACTCCAGCGGCGGAGGCGGCGACATCCGAGATGCGTCCTGTGACCGCTCAGCCGAATCGACCGCAGACGTCTCCTGCAGCGAAGGGTCAGGAGCCACGGAGATCAGATCCTGCATGCAGCGGCCCGATCGCAGCAGGTAGGCCGGCGGCTTCTTCCACGGACGCAGCTGTGAGTGATGGACTCGCTTCTCTTGTCCGTCTTCCGACTTGACGATGTAAGTAACGCCGTTGTTGTTGACCCGTGTTACAACGAACGGGCCATCGTAGCGGCGCTGGAACTTGTTGACGAGCATGTTCCCTGGGTGGTGGGCTTCTTTCTTGACAAGTTCGCCGACCCTAAATGGGGCGAATTCCGGGTGACCAGGCTTCCAGGAGTTCTGTATTTCCGAGGACACGATGGGGCCACTGACGCCACCGTGCTTGCGCTGGAGCAGGAACTCGGCAGGAGATTCTTTTAGCTCAGAGTGCCGAGTAGTATTGTAGGTGACCAGGGCGCGGGCCAGCTGTCCATCCCAGTCGGCAGCGGAGTCCGACAGGAGACGCAGGGCTTGACTTAGGGAGCGGTTACAGCGCTCAACTGCCCCGTTACCCTCAGGTCGGAGGGGAGTGGAGTAGACGTGATTGATCCCCCAGTTGATCAGCACCTTCTCGAACTCCGGTCCGCAGAACTCTGGACCATTGTCAGTCAGCACTCGCTTCGGCTTGCGTAAGAGAGCCACCAGAGCGTGGTGTTCGAAAGCGGTTGCAACAGCAGCTGACGTCTTTCGGCGGATTGGAATCGCCATTGACCACTTCGAACAGTGGTCTATGACCACCAGGCAGCCGATGAAACCTCTGCGGGTACGTGGGAACAGAAGAACATCGGCAGCAACCAGTTCGAATGGCTCAACACATTCAATCTTGTGCGTAGGAGGTGCCTTCGTTTGGGCAGTTGTTTTGTATAGCTGACAGCTTTTACAGCAGTAAACGATGTCGGCAACGACCTTAGTCATTCCGGGACAAAACACCTGTTTTGAGAGCAGATCACAGAGCTTGTCGCGTCCGATGTGGGCCATCTGGAGATGACTGACGACAGCCAGGTCGATGAGCCAGTCTTTGTTGACTACAGACACGGGCCCGTGTTTGGGATGTTCGTACATCAGGACACCATGGGTGATCTTCATCTTCTTGATAAACTTGCGGTAGCGTGTCAAAGTTGACGGAAGATTCTTGTGCTCGGTGCCTTTCTGGACGTGGTGGATCAATGAACGCAGGATCTGTTGACGCTGCTGGTGTTCTTGAACAGTGTCCAACGTTGGGACTGATGACACTGCTGCGCACCTCACGTCTTGGCATTTCTGACAGTCGCTCGCAATGGACATCGGCTGAACGTGCTCCCCGCAGTTTACTTGGCGCTTTCCGAAGTCGATTACAACGCCAGCGGCTTTCAGGAAGTTGGCACCGAGCAGGATGCAGTGACCGAATGACTCGTCACGATCGACGAGCAGAGGAACCCTGACTTCTCTGCCAGGTGAGATGGCGACATCAACGTCGACGTACTCTGCACAGCTGGTGTTACCACACAGGCCTTGGATGGAAACGCTCGTGCGTCGAACTTCCAGTGCTGGGTCCTCCGCGATGATCTTTTGAAGAGCAGCCGCGCTGATCAAGCCCACCGCCGCACCAGTGTCAAGCAGAGCACAGACTCGAACGGTGTTGCAACGCACAACGACGGTGCACTGCGTCACTCGATGATTCTGACACTGTGGGAGTGCTTCTTTTCCATTGAGTACGTCCTTCTCGATGTCTTCTGGTGGTGGTGGCTCGCTTGTTACCTCATCACGATAGTCCTTTTCAACCTGTGCCAGGAGGACAGTACCATCTCCTGCGAACTCGGGCGTCTCCTGCAGAAGATTGAAGTGTACTCCAGCCAGGCATTGCAGGTGGACTGTATCCGGATCATCTTGTGCGTCTTCCTTTCCACGTCTCCGGAACACCAACGGATTCTGTGAGCCGAAATGGACGATGATCCGCACGTTGTACCGGGACGCAAACACGGACAGCATGTCTATAGCCATCAGTTGCCCCGGCAGCCGCATCAGCCTCAGGTCTTGACGGGAGTGCTTGTCTAACTTGATGTCGTACTTGCTGGGTGTCCGAACCGCTTCATCCAGTAGCTCTTGACGTAGTGAGGCGTTGCTGATGTTACGATGACGATGGGCACGAATCCAGTACTGCAGGCACTCCACCATGGTATCGCCACCTCCCTCCGGTTTGTACCAGTGAGAGAGACCAGAGGGCAGATCAGGGCCATGCGGAGGCGACTCGACCTCAGCGTCTTGGAGCAGCGTTCTGGAGAAAAAGTCCGCTGCTGAGTTCAAGCTTCCAGGAACGTAGCAGATCTCGAAGTCATAGTCTGCCAGCTCTTCCACGGTACGTGCCAGACGACTGTTGACTAGACGCATGTTATGTAGATACAAGAGAGCTTGGTGGTCTGTGTAGATTCGGAACCTCACGGCGCCCACGAAGGCGTGGAAGACCTTCACACCCCATCGTAGAGCGGCGAGCTCTCTTCCAGTTGCAGAGTAGTTGCGCTGGGCTTTTGTGAACGTTGTTGACGCGAATCCGATGTACCTCGTCTTCCCATTTTGCTCTTGGGTGAGACAGGCTCCAGCACCAGCGGATGATGCATCTACCCATAGAGAGAGCGGACGGGCGTCCTTGCTGTAGTCAGGGAAGGAGAGGGTTATTTCCTCTTTCAAAGCTTCCTTCAGCTGCATGAAAGCGTTGTCCATCTCTTTGTTCCATTTCAGCTCCGTCTTCGGGGGCAATCCAGTCAGTTCCGAGAGTGGTTTTGCCATGACAGAGCAGTTCCGCACAAACTTGCGTTGATAGTTGACGATACCCAGGAACTGACGTAATTGATGTACAGTCTTCGGGCGTTCGAGCTGGGAAACCTTTTCCAGGTACTCTGGCGACTTTTTCAACCCGCTGGAGCTGATCACATGACCCAAGAACTTCACTTCAGGCTGGAACCAGGTGCACTTGTTGCCATTCAGCTTGATCCCTTGTGATTCCAGGGCCGATAGGACGTCGTCAACAAGCTGGAGGTGACGTTCAAACGATGTTTCCATGAGCAGCAGATCGTCGAGGTAAATGATCAGGTTCTGCCTGGAGAACCCGTGCAGAATGGCCTGCATCTCCCGCTGGAACTGCGCTGGAGCGTTTTTCAGTCCGAATGCCAGTCGCTTGAACCTCCAGTGTCCTCTGGGGGTGCTGAATGCTGTGTAGTCCCTTGAAGACTCCTCTATCGGCAGGTGGTAATAGGCCTTGGCGATGTCGAGACCGCTGAACCAGACCATGCTGCGGTGTGCTGCGAACACAGAGTCCGATACATCCGGCATGGGGAAACGTGACGTGACGGTCCTCTGATTCAGTCGCCGGTAGTCCACGCACAGACGCAGCGTGCCATCCTTCTTGCGGACTGGAACGACTGGCGCGCTCCATGCCGAGTCGCAGCGCTCGATGATGCCAAGTCGTTCGAGGTCGAGACATTGTCGTTCCACTTCTTCTGCCACTGGTGGGGAGAGCTTCCTGGGTCGGATGAAGATCGGTGTATCTTCTGTTAGCACAATACGATGAGCAGTCATCGATGAGTGCAGTGTGTCCGTTTCGGATCGCATGAAGACCGCCGCATGACGTCTGAACAGGTCTTCCACTGCGCTTTGTTGATCCGCGGTGAGGCCTGGTATCTCGGATGCTGCCGGAACTGCGCTGCCGTCTTCCGCGATCGATGAAGCGAACACGACCTTCGGTTGTTCAAAATCCAGTAAACTGTCTGCCGCTGAGTCTGCATAGCCAACGGCTGAGCCCTTTCGAATGGATACAGTCGCGTGGCCTCTGTTGTTCACCAGGATGCGTGGATGCTCTGGATCAAGTATACCAGCGACAAAATCCAGAGCCGAAGATTCGTTTTCGCCGCCGGTGAAGACCAGCTGTCTTGCACTGTCTTTGCAGATGCCACAGGCAGACTGCTGTCCGAGACTGCACCGGAGTTCCGCAGCTGAACCTGAGCCGATCTGCATGTCTTGGGCAGAGTAGCACGGGATGGCTGTCTCGAAGTGAACGCAGGAGTCTTGCAGACTGGATGGCAGATAAACTTTCCAGCTTGATCCATTGCTTCGACGCCCTGAAACAGATCTGGTCTTGATGTCCAGGCTTAGTCCATATCTCTCCATAGAGTCTCTTCCGATGATCAGGTCGATGGGAGTTTCATGTTGATCAAGAACGAGACAATCGATTATCTTGATCTGGATTCCATGCATGGTCACTTGAACTGTCGCTTTCCCAAGGGGATGCAACACCCGTCTTCCAATCGCATGTACAGCTTGGGTGCAGGGCGTGATGTCACTCTGCGCAACGAGATGACTCCCGATCAGAGACCGATCAGCTCCACTATCTAGGATGGCTGTGGCTTCTTGCGAACCGACTTGAACTCTGGAGCGGAAGATCGGCTCAGCAGACACGGCGGATGTGAAGATCTCATTCGAACGCAGCAGATCAGCGGTTAGAGGAAGCAGTTCTTCGCTAGTTTTGAAGCCTGGTTCTGTTTCTGTTTCAGCTTCTTTGTTTGCATTGAGGTTTGCTCCAGCTTCTTTGTCCGGCATGGGACTTGCTTCAGATGCAGGGCTGTGTGCAGTCACTGGCGGCCCCGAGACGTCCGAGTGACTTCCTAGTTTCCCGATAGGTGACGCTGAGTCTGACGGGATTTGGCTGATGGTTGGGCAGCACAAACGTCCCTGGAACGACTCCTGTGCTGATCTTCGAAGTCCGGGTCTTGGGCCTGCATCTGATCTGTTGAGTTGTCCAGACAAGATTCAAACACCGGTGTGCTGCGCGTTCTTTTCACCGAAGCTCCTGAGTCTACCTCAGGCGGGTAGGACGAGTGTTCGTGGCGTGGATACCTCTCTTGGCTACGTCCAGAGCGACAATCGCGGATGTAGTGTCCGGACTGGCCGCATCGAAAGCAGAGGTCGTTCTTCCGCCAGCAGTTGCTTGCGACGTGGCCACGGCGGTGGCAGAACTTGCATGTCTTCAATGTTCTTTCTTTGCTTCCTTCGTCACGATTCCTCTCCCCTGGGCTTGTGTCTCTTCGTGTTCTTCTTCTTCTTCTTTCGTCTCTCTGAACCCGTCGGTCTACAGCGAGGCGATCGCCATCAGATTCCGAAGAATCGCTCTCATCCTGCAGTCGTGAGTCCTTGTGGCAGGCCTTGCACGTCGCTGTGTAACGAGTTTCACGCTGAACTGCTCCCGGCCTGGCAGATGGCGTGGACTTGGAGTCCCTGCTCCTCGAGCTCCGCGCGCGAGAACCAAGATGTGCAGGGGGCGTCTCCCGGGAGAAGAAAAGTGATGAGTTGACATCCTCGAAGCATTCGCATTGGAGAATCGTGATGAAGTTGTCCCATTTGAGCGTGATGCCGTGGATTTCCTTGTTGTAACGCTCTTGCTTCTTCAGATGATCTGCAGCTTGAGGAGTCAGGTTGTCAAGTAGACGATCCCGAAGTAGCTTCGAAGTCTGCACATCAGCGGCTGGGTATGCGTCTTCAAACAGAGATGACAGTCGCAGAGCAAAGAGGGGTAGAGACTCATTCTGAACTCTTTTGCAGCCGTCGAATCTTTGCTTTGCAGTCTGATGTCCAGAAGCATCTTGTCTTTCAACCCAGCGGAGCATTCGCAGCTTCAGACGGGCGTAGGGTGTCTCCGTCCCACCGCATGCGTTGAAGATGTCGGCCACCTCGCCAGTCAGAAGCGTTTTCAGTAGTGGCAAGGCATGATCGAGACTGCCT